GAATGTTTGCCTTGTATTGTAAAGCTACGTTGCACAATATAAAAAATTAGTGTAACATTTCAAATTTCCACTATGCTGTCATTATTATCATAATGCTGAATAATATCCCCGTATTTGGGTTCAATATTCACAATTGAGACAATTTCCCTATTTCAAGAATCATTATTTTTTTTTCCTTTTGTTCATACTGCAAGTATGCAATCCGAGTTTCCTACTTAATACAGCCTACTTGCTGACTTACAGTCAAAGATTAATAAAAATATAACTTTTATCCTCCTGGATAAAAGGGTCCCTAGGTTATATATATAATTATGTCCCAAAGATGTCCCCTTGGGATTTGTCTCAATACAGTCGGCGCTCGATATAAGAAAGAATTGGTTTGAAAAAAAACTTCACTATATAGTGTGATTCACTATATAAAAAGATTGACAAAATTTACAAAAATCCCGTGATACAACTTTATTAAATAAAAAATTATAAAAATACATAAAAAAGAAAAATAAATAAATAATATATAGATGATTTCATAAAAATAATTATTTAGTAATCCAACTATCCGGTGTGCTTTGTTTTTTTTAGAAGCAGTATGTTTGGATATGTGGTTTTTAATTGCTTTTATTGAATTAATGTGTTTAAATTCAAAAGTAAGATTTTCAGGTGGATCTTGAATATATGAAGGGACAATGTTTAAAGATTCTAATGCCTCTTTTGTAGTAATTCTTTGACTAACAATTGATAATTCATCTCCTGACTCAGACTCAGCTGTTGGTCTTACATGACTAATAATATCTTCATCAGTAATTTCAACATTTCCAAACTCTTGGATTTCATTATCAATTCTAATAAAATCCTCTGCACTCAATCTATCAGAAGCTTCAATATTTCTTAGTCCATTAATTAGGCTCTGAAGTTCATGATATTCTTCTTGAATGAGTTGAACACTTGTACCACTTGTTTCTATTTCCATGGCATCATCTAAAGTAGGTAAAATTCCTGTCTTTAACCAACAGTTTCTAATAGTTTCAAAAGTTACTTCATTCCAAGCTTTAGCACAAAGTTCAATTGCATCAGAGATTTTAAATTGTTCAAGAGGCATATCAAGGCTTTGGTGTAAATTGTAAGCATCAGTTCTGTTACTTACAAGAAATTTTCTATAATGAGCCTGGAAAAAATGATAGTTAGAATAAATATTTAAGCAAGTAAAATATTTATCATTTATAATACTTTACTTTAAAGGAATTTATAATTCCTGCATCAGAAGTTGTAGATGGGCAGTTGTATTAGGAGGAAGGTGATGAAGCATGATATTTGTTAAAATGGTTGCTTGATCAAGAATGTGTACTGGTGCATTATCAAACAATAATAAAATATTTTTATTTTCCCTGGCCATTTTCTGGTTCAACTTTATCAAATATTGATTCCAAATAGAAACCTGCATCCAGGCTTTTGTGTTCCAATAGTAATCAACTGGAAGCTTTGACTTGTCAACTCCAAGCATGTCTCTTGGTGTTTGATACTTATGAATAAATAAAAGAGGAAGTTTTTCAGTTCCTGTTGCATTCATAGTCAGTAAAACGGTTATTCTTTTTTTCGATTTTTTAATACCAGAAAGAGGACCAGTTGATAATGTCTTTGAAGGTTCTAATCCCAGAGCAAGCCTAATAAAATAAATACTTAGTCTATTATAAATGATATAATAATAATTATACTGAATTATTTTACCAGTTTCATCACAATTATAAACATCTTCTAAAGGAAATTCCTAATTATTTCTTGTAATCTTCTTCTTTCTTCAGAAGGTGCAGAGCTTGCTTCACCATGCATAACATACTGCTTTATGTTATTTCTTTTCTTAAAATTCGACACCCAACCATCTGAACCTTTAAAATCATTGATATCTAGTAATTCAGCAAATCTTTTAGCTTTAGTGAGAATTATATCACCTGTAATTACTCTTTTATCTGAAATTGCTTGATTGAACCATATCATCAATGCACTTTCAAGATCAGGATATTTTGCAGCTTTATCTTTTTGTCTGTTGGTATCATTAGGGTTGATAGATAACCATTTATCTTTATCTTTTAAAATCTTGCAAACAGTAGATTCTGCAATTCCAAATTTTTGACCAAGTTCTTTATATGTGAATGATGGATTTCTTTCATTAAATTCACAAAGTTGTTTTTTTCATCCCAAGTCAAAATTTTTCTTTTTTATTTGATTGATCAATTGATGACATTTTTATTTTTTTTTTATTAAAATTTGAGAAAATAATTTTTAGCTGAAATGATTTTTTAATAAATTATTACAAACAAAAGTACAATTCCTAGTTCTTTTATTTATAAGAAAATCAGTAAATAATAAATAATTACAAGAAAATTATTTTTAAACTTTTTGCGACACATTACTAAATTCAATTACTTTATTTCCCGCGAGACATTACTAAATTGTTTTTTCGCAACACATTACTAAATTCAATTATTTTTAAACTTTTTGCGACACATTTACTAAATTCAATTACTTTATTTTTCGCGAGACATTACTAAATTCAATTATTTTATTTTTCGCGAGACATTATTAAATTCAATTACTTATTTTTTGCAAGATATTACTAAATTCAATTGATTTAGTTTTCGCGACACATTACTAAATTCAATTATTTTATTTTTCGCGACACTTTGCTAAATTCAATTACTTTGTTTTTTCGCGACACATTACTAAATTCAATTACTAAATTTAATTATTTTTATTTTCTAATATTATTAGTAAAGTGAAAAAATGAAGACCAGATTTCAAATAATACTCCAAACCTTTATATAGATGTTAACCCAAATAAACGTCCAACTGCCAGAAATATATATGTATGTAATTATTATTCTTACCAAACATTATTCAATATCCAATTTTCAACAACTATATGAAAGATAAAGGTTTCTACTCTTGTTATTAAGGAAGTTGGACAGATTTTTTCAAAATCTGCTTATTTCCCTTTCATGACTATACTACGTTCAGTGTTTTGAGTTGTTCACACGATCCGCAGCAGAACTGCTATTTATATAATAATATCTTGCCGTTCTCTTTAGCAAATCTCAAAGAAGAATTTTCGTCAAGTGTTTGCCACTTGTTGACGTTTGCCAGGCGAGACATTTTATCGGGCTATATTCTGGTTTCTCCAACCTTAATTCTGATTGATTAACCAATAATCCTTTTTTTTTTGAATATGCATCAAAACATGTTTAAAAATATTGATTTATAGTTTCATGACCATACTATTAATATATTTATATTATTTTAATAATCTTTTACATCTGACTATGTTGCTTAGAGCGAAAATCTGTTTCCACGTGAGGGTGCTGCAGATCTATTTCATTTATGGCAAAGATTTTTGATTAATCTATCCATTTTTAGTAAAAAAACAAACAAAAACTTTAAAATATGGTGGAATTGTCTTCTATTCCTTCTTCCGATAATAATAATAATACTACCAACAACCATGTTAATAAAGACAATAATTTAGAAGAGAGTTCATCGTCGAACCACATGAACACCACCACAGAAGCTTCAAACCACCACCACCAAGAAGAAGAAGAAGAAGAAGGAGCCTCAAGATCTGGCGAGAATACTAGAATAAAATTTGCTCCATGCACTATATGTTCAGAACCAGGCTGTAGTACTAGTAAACAAATTACAACAATAACTATTAAAGTAATAACGGTAGTAATAAGGAATGAAGATGGAGATAGTATAACTAATTCATTTGTTGAAACAGACGTGTCACCTGTTGTGACCACAATAGAGGCATCAGATCCATCACAAATTGAAGTTGAAACAACCGAATATCCGCAACAGTCACAGTCATGTTCACAACATCAACATCAACATCAGCATCAACAACAAGAAGAAGAAGAGGAGGAGGGGTAGAAAATGTAATTAATACACCTATTGTTATAACTGAACCAGATTGTATTTAAATTGAACATTTTTTTTAGTAGGGATTTTCTTATTTCAATTTAATAATAGTAATGATGGTGATGAACAGAGAAAATATCTGGGTAACTGATGATTATAATTCAAAATTCTGCGCTTTTACCATAATACCATAACATTATTATTTTAATATTAATTAGCGTGATAAGGCAAGACATCATTTGATAATTAATCTTTTTTTCGTTACCTTTTTATCTTGATCGATATTATCGTTAAATAAACAAAATATCAAGAAAAAATTATTGTTTGAACGTTAAATATACTAAACCAATGGATTAATGCCAAGTTTCTACTGAATTAACCAACTAGTTTGTTATCTCATGCTCTCCCCGATTCGTATTAATTATTTAAATGTGTCACTAAGTCATAAAGATCAATGATTTGCATATTTAACTTTGGGGAAAAAAAATACTATCATCTTGTTTCTAACAATTCATTTTTTACTTTATTTAAAAAAAAAAAATGAATAAAAAAAATGGATGCTGTTAAAGACAAATTCAGATATTATAATTCCCTGGCCGACAAAAAATTAGCAAAATATCCACAAATAAATAAGTTGGAACAAACAACTGGAGTTTCAAAAACTTACCTTGCAGCTGGCGTTTTAGGCATTGTATCTATTTTGATATTTTTCAATTTTTGGGGAGAATTACTCTCTAACCTTATCGGATGGCTTTATCCTGGTAATTAATTATTATTTGTTCCTTTAACTTCTCAAATTTTAAAAACTTTATTCAAAAAAACTTTTTTTCTTCTTCTCTTGATAATAGTTTATGCTTCTTTCAAAGCCATTGAAAGTGTAGAGAAAACCGACGATACTCAATGGTTAACTTATTGGTAACTTATATAAATACTTTGTAAGAAATTTTACCAAACTTTTTTTTTTTTTAATTATTTCGTTCGCTTAGGAGCATATTTGGATTGTTAATATGATTGAATTCTTTTCTGATCTCATTCTCTACTGGGTTCCTTTCTATTTCTTTTTCAAAACAATTTTTTTCCTCTGGTAAATAAATTTTTTAATTTTATAATTGATTTTTTCTTCCACATTCTCCATATCCACATTCTCATATTTATCTTATACACTCTTCATTATACGCAGGCTTTTCCTTCCAGGTTTCAAAGGAGCTCAAGTTCTTTATACTAAATTCTTTAAACCAGCTCTTTTGTCATATGAAGATGGTATTGATCATGGCATTAACAAAGCAAAAAAGTTGCTAAAAGTGTTATCAACCCTCCTCTTAATAATAATAAGAGTGATTAGGAAGAAAAACGCATTGGATGTTCAATAAACATTGTACTTGTTTAATATTGTAAATAATTTATCCAAATAAAAGAAAAATTGACCGATGATAATATGCACACTATTACATTGATTTTCACATGACTATTAATAATAATTTTATTTATAATGGTAACTTATGATGATGCATTAAATCCTAGAACTCACCAAATTAAAGGAGAATTGATATTTCATATATAAAAGAGTTTTTGGGATTTATAAAGAATGGAAACCACGCCTTACATATACAACAAAAGTAATTCATTAAAAAAATGTTTTACGTTTTTTAATATATAGTTTATTATTAATTATAAATTTTTGCTATTACTAATCTTGAAACTTGGTCATGTCATTTAGTCACTTCCTACATGACCTTGGTGACCAGTGGCTATAGGTCATTTTCGATGTGACCTAGGTCATCTTAAAAAATCAAAATGACCTGGTCATGTTTCCAGCACTGCTAACCAGTGTATATATAAATTTCGAAAATATCTGCAAAAAATTACTATGTATGACGTTACAAAATGAATAATATTATAATTGGTTTTATAAATATTGTCTACAAGACCACACCACTTATATCTTTAGCAGCTATTATAATATGTGCTGTTGATATATTGTTACGTGCTATGAAAAAGAGTCAAGCATTAGCTTTTATTGCTGGTGGTAGTTATTTGATAATGGTAAAAAATAAAACAAAGGGTTGTGAAAAAAAATTTTTAAAAATTTTATTTACATTTGAATTTTTCTTTTTCTTTCACCTTTTAAATATGTTTTTAGGGATTCATGGTAGTTATGATTTGTTTATATCGATTTTTTACTGTAAGGAATGCTTTAACTAGTATACCTAAATCTAAATTACCTATTAGTAAGGAATATTTATCAAAGGTAGATAAGATGACTATAAACATAATATTTGAAATGATTTAAAGTTATTTACACTATAATAAATTAATTAACATGAGTATGTGTATATGTATATACTTTTAGTCTGTGAATAATTTAATTACAAATGAACTTAATCATGTTTCAATGATTGCTTGGTCTGGTGAGCCAAGACCTGAAGATAATGGTCAAATAGGTTGGGGTTGTCCTGGTTAGTAATTATTAATAAAGTAATATATTTTTATTGTTATGTGTAAACTAATTTTTATTATTTAAAAATTTTTTCCCAATAGGTTCTTCATATGAAAATATCCATTTTCAAACATCAATTGTTGATACATTTGGATTAATTGGTATATTACTAATAAATTATTATTTTTTACTATTATTTACTTTATTAAAACATTACTTGTATTTATTTTTACATATAAATATATACTTGTGTAGAACAAGCAGCATTAAAACATTCACTATCTCTAAAACGACATCCTACTATGTCAGTAAAAAGATATATAGATTTTCTTATTGAAAGTAAAGTAATTGATGATACATTGGGACATGCTTATGTTGAGAGATATGAATGGGCTCGATTTAGCAATGATGAAATTCCAGAAGAAAAATATAGAGAGTTTATGAAAATTGTGTTGAGATTGTTAAGACAATTGGATTACAGTGCGGAATGAATAATAATACAATAATAAATGAAATCATCAATTTAACAAAAGAGTAGTCTGAATTGAGTTACAGCACCCGTATATAATGTGAGTGATGTCTTGTGTAATGCACCTCCACTGGCAAAAAAAAAAATTCAAGAAAATCAATTAGTCCATTTAGGATGATGACATTTAATAAATCAAGAAGTGTGTTCACTCTCATGAGTGTCCCAGATAGAGAGACTTTAAATAAATAGTTTTTCTCAGACCTTCCCAAGAGTTGAAATGTTATTTTGATATGTAGAATAATGACAATTAAAAGGAATCAAAATCGTCATTATCTGTATGTTTGCCCTAACACAAGTTTTTTGTTTGAGCCATCATAAAATAAAATGCTGATATTAGTGATGATGAAATGAAATTATGAGATTTTTGCATGCATGTTATCATCAGCATTAAAGATGATGATGTTATAGAGAATTTATTTAATTATTAAAAGATTATGGTCAACAAAATACATTAAAAATTTTTTTTGTGATAAAATGTAAGGATTGTTAGAATTCATAACAATCATTACTCTAGCCATTTATTTGAAATTCTGGTCAATGGATCCAAGTTTATAACAACAACAAATCATGTTGTTCCTTATAACTTTATAGGAATTCTTCAGACTGGATTAATAAATGCAGTGAGAACTGGTATTTATTCCCAACAATGTTAAATGCAAATTATCAAAAAAATGCATCAGAAGCAGTGTATTTACAAGCTAATTGAACCCTATGATGTCAATTGCAAGAACTAGGTCTGTTTATCCAGTATTAATTGCATATCTATATCAAGAAATGATATCCCTGCTGCAAAGCATGCTGCTTTCCCTTTCAAAAACTATTTATTATATATTTGCATGGTAATGGTTGGTTTTTATATCTCAAAAATGTGACTGATTAGGATTTTTCTGTTTCTTTCCATTTGAACTTGATTTATTATAATTTGTCATTAGTACCAACTTCCATTGGCACTTTCTTCTTTTATGGGTGACAGTCTATTAACAGTTGTTGTGATAGTTGGTGATGTTGCAGTAATAATTTCTGAAGTGGTCTTCTCAGCTAATGGTGTTGGTTTATAGGATATTCTATGATTTATAATCTCATTGACATTTGGTATATCCATGATTGTGATGGTGGGAATGGTTATTGGAGTTGGTTCAATAATGTCAGTGACCAAAGGTCCTTCTTCTAAAGGAACTTTGTTTTCATTTATGGGTTTGTCAGAAATTTGATATAGACTTCTCTTGAATTTTTATTGCTTTATTAAAAAAGAAAAAAAAACATACAAGGAATAATAAATGAATTGATTAAAAAATAAAAGATTGGAAATTACGTTTGATGATAACCTATTTCGCTTAGGTGTTATATGATTTCCTACATCAGAAAATAATTTTTCAGATGGAACTGAAGTTGCACTTAAATGCAAATACTTTGCTAATATTGCAAGCAATGGCAATTCATCTTGTCTATCTTTCCACCAACTAAGTGTGTGTTATATTACCTGTTACATTAGGCATGTTTAAATATTTGGTTAATTCATTATATTCTTGTTGTTATGAAACATCATCAAACAAGTCATCAAATATAGTTTTGTGACGAATTTTGGTGGGTTAATACAGTGTTGATCTTTTTGGAGTATTCAATAAATTCTTGATACTGTTAGATAGTATTTGATATGTTGCATCATATTATTCAGGTACAAATTTTAAAGTTTTAAATCTAGGATCTAAAGCTGAAACCAGATAGCCAAGTGCTGATGTTTTGCATTGACCAATAATTTATCAAGGAATTATACTAAGTTTTAAGTGGTGGTCCGCCAATCAGTAATATCCTGATTATATGGGGCATACTGCAACAAAACCAGACAAAGTGAACATTAGTGATCATAATTAACAGTTTTATAATATCCCATTTGTTACCTTAAGTGATATATAGTACTACCCCTATATAAAAATAGTTAATATGAAACTCATTTACATCAGATCTACTATGGAACCCAAAAATTACAGCACCATTAGAAGTATTCTAAAGAAAGAACAAGGTGAAAAAATTGCTCCTTATACTTTCAGAATAAACAATACTCAGACACTTGATACTTATCTAAAAAAAGAAAGAATTACCTATGATTTATCAGCAAGAAAAATTAAGGATAGAAGATAATGTAAATGAGATAAAGTCTATATCAAATTAATAGAGGGAAATCTGCCACAGCTCATTTTGGGATTTAATTGAGGTGGGAATATAAATAAGATGAGACATGGAAGAGGTATGACTGTATAGAATTACAGACCCTAATAATAAAAACTGAAATCCTTAATAATTACTGGAAACAAATATTATGGAAATTATTGTGTTTATTAGGTTTTGGGTTTTTTTAATTTATTTAATCACTTTGGTGTTGCCAATGCTGGTATATAAAACAAAAAAAATTTTTTTTTTATTATTGATTTCAGTAGCCAATGTGCATGCATGTAATTTTTTCATTTATTTATTTAACAAGAATAACAGACTTATTTAATAAAAAAAATTTTAATTAGAATTCACTCATTGACCATATGATTTCTCAGTTTCCTTTTTAAGAAAAGCCATTGATTGTACACTGCATTTTTGCTTCTGCTCAAGTTTTGCATTGCAAAACTGTAATCTATCCTTACTGTGGAAAAGACACAGTCAATTAGGATTTATTTCTCCTGATTTGTCCATCTCATCCTTTTCATTGCAATATTACTATTGTTATTATCGTTTATGTTATTGTCATTATTATTATCACTATTACTATTGATATTGATATTATTATCAATGTTATTATTGTAATGAAAATTATCAGTATTATTAGTTTCTTCTATATTAATGTCATCATTTCTAAAATTATTATCATCATTATTAGTTGTGGAACATTGCAAATCAAGTGTCATTCAATATAAACATCACACAAAAAAATTATTGTCGTCCACTTCAAAAAAAAAAATCTCCGTTTTTCATGTAACAAGCAACTTTCAATCATAATAAATTTTTAGAGCCAGACTGGGGCTTTTAACAACAGTTAAAAGAAAAGACTAGCTTAAATATTGGTTGTTCTACGCCAGG